CCCCCCCGGCTCTGGGCTGGTGGACATATATGGTTGAGGAATGGTGTTTATTTTTGGCTAACAACTGGTGCTGAAGCTCTGAGAACAGGGCGGGGGGAGTCAGGATCCAGACATACGTGCAGCAGTCTGTGGTTCGGCTCATGTTCAGAGGAATTGAAAATCCTGGCAGAAAAGCAGCCTATTGAAGTTAAATAGCTTCCTTAAAAGGGACTTCTTTCCCTTTTAGCTGACAGTGGTGCTTAGCAGAGAGCTCTTTTGGCTTTTTCCAAGGCATTTTCATTGGAGGTGGCCAGCCAGACCACCTGTCTGGGCCTGCAGTCTCCTCACTGGGAGGGACCCTGATTATAAATTGGATCTGTTTCCATTCTCGAATATGTATGTGTGAGTCTTCTGCTCCACTCCTAATAGGAGTTGTCTATAAAGAGCGAAGGGTGACAGTTCTGTGTTCAAAGCTGTAAGTTGAAGCTGTGGTAAGGCCCCTTTCCCTGTGATCTTTGCTCAGTGGTGATGGTTTGCAAGCTCGGCCCAACTACCTTCAGACCCTGCTGCCCTGTGCCAGGCAAAGGGATTTCCTCGGCCTCCCAGCTGGCTCTGTTTTTACCGAGTTGTTGCACAAAGATTTATCTTAAGTAGCTTAGCTCTCCAAGGTTGTTCTGTGTGTATGTGCATAACATGTTAAGCTTAAGTTTACTTGGCTTTACATCTTAACATTTTCCCAATTACGTGCCCTGTTGTATCTTGTTTGTATTTCCCAAAATGTCAGGATGGATGAGGGAGCTCTTAGTACAAAACTGCTTGAAACAGTGTTAGGTTAAAGTGTTTGAGTCTCAGCTTGCCCTTTAAGCCAGCCAGACACCACTGTCTGTGAAAGCCTTCGGTCTGCTCACTGGGAGGGATTGTTGCCTAGGCAGGCTGCCTGGAGGTCTTATCTCTCTTAAGTTCTCCTTTCCTGAAGTAACTGAGATTTCTCACCGCGTGGATCGTTTTTCTAATCCTGCTTCCCTCCCAGGCCCACCCCAGATCCTACTGTGATTGTGCTGCTGTGAACTGGCAGCTGTGTATGCTGGTTTGGGGGATGCTGACAGGAAGGGCTGCACTGTCTGCAGCAGTGAGGCAGGGGACACCACCCAAGTGGTTACCTTTGTTCATTCTCCCATTTGTTGGAATTGGAAGGAAAGAAATACTTTGCATGCAGTTGTGTGGAGTCAGGCGGATGAAGCAGCTGTGTTGGACCCTCTTCTGGAACTAAGGCTTAGTCGTTCCTGGTGCAGCTTTGCCTTTAAAAGCACAACGGAGCTCAGGAAAAGAGCCATTCTAGCCAACTCCAAGACACCAGGCTCCAGGTCCTGGTGCTTGGTTACCCCAGCAATGCCAAGGGGAAGGGGTGTCTTGTCTTACAAACAACATACACCAAGAAACAGCTAAAGGATGCAGTTCTTAGGGAAAGGGTAACTAGCTACTGCTAATACCGCAGACTAATTCTTTTAATGGTTTGCCACGGCTGACAGCTGACGCCCCTCTCTGGCTCTCGTTGCACTCAGTCAAAGGGGGCACCGCACAAAGCCTTATTATCTCCACTGTTCCTCGCAAATCCTGTCTAAACCAGTACTCTTCAGTGGGTTGACCTCTGGAAACGGACAGTTCTTTAAGCTTCGTAAAAGGCTGGCCACTGGGCCGTCCTCGTGGCCCGTCGAGGCTTCCCCACGGAGTCGTGCATGCTGCCGGCGGGGCTGGGGAGCACCCCAGGATGCAGGGAGGGTCTGGGCCGCCAGGGTGGCGTGGACAGCACAGGGCACGGCTCCCTGGCCCCGCCGCCACCGCACAGCCCCTCACCAGCTGCCAGGAGGAGGCTGCCGCGAGGAGCAGGCTGGATGGGACCTGGAGGCAAAACCATTTGCCTGTTTTCAGAGACTGAGAGGAGCAGGCAAATAACAGAAAAACGATCGGTGTGGGCAGAGGGCGGTGGTTTTTCTCTGTTTGCAGGGGACGACGGGGGCAGAGAGGTCGTATATAGGAGCGTACTGAAAAGCAGAAACTGTTTTTTAACAGTGGCACTTACTTGCATGTCTTACTTTAAAAAGGTGACCAATGTCCATTGCTCAGAGCCCCCAGCGCCGGTTCCGCAGGGCGGGGTTTAGCTCTGCAGGAGGCAAGCGGGCCTCCTTTTATAGGATGAGCCCGCAGAGGGGAGGCAGGATGCTCTCACTAGCCTCCGTGTGCACGGGCCGCGTGCACACGGGTCCAGCACCTCCGCGCAGGCGCGAGCGCAGCCTGCCGGCTTCCTGCCGGCTTCCTGCCGGCTTCCTGCCGGCTTCCTGCCGGCTTCCTGCCGGCTTCCTGCCGGCTTCCTTTCCTGCCGGCTTCCTGCCGGCTTCCTGCCGGCTTCCTGCCGGCTTCCTGCCGGCTTCCTGCCGGCTTCCTGCCGCCGCCTGGCCCTCCGGCCGCCTCAGCCCTGCCGCATACACACCGGCGGCCCCGCGTGGGGCGGGCGCTGATCGACCGGGCCGTCCCCTGAGCAAGTACCCCGACACTGACGTGGCTCCCCTGAAAGCGGTTCAGAAATAATAGTCAAGAGGAAAGAGACCAGAACTTTAATGATACTTTTATCCATAAAAGAGTTCAGGTTGGTGAAGCAGAAAAGGGTTGTGATTACAACGTAAATAAAATCAGTCACTTGCACCGTTAATCCTCTCGCATCATACAAACTAGGCTTTCGTGGCGAGTGCGTACATGAGACACAGCACTGGCGGGGGCGGGGGGGTCTGGAGTCCATGGTGCTCAGACCTGAGGGAGGCGTTACACCAGCGAGGCGGGGCGGAGACCTTGCCCTACAGCCTCGCCCCCCGGCCCCGCGGGCACGGTCCTGTGGCTGCACCCCAGTGTGCTGGGCCCCATGCCCCGGCCACAGGAACAGACTGCTCCTGAGCCTTTTCAGGGCCCAAGTGACGAGGCCACGTCAGCGACAGGGTGTGTGAGGGAGTTGAGGGGACGCTGGGGCCTGAGGTGGAAGAAATAAATCTAAATAAACTTATGTACACTAAACCATTGGAAGAGAGGTTTGGCTTTTAAGAAATAAATATGTCCCCAACCCCAGAAACCAAGCTGCTGAGTAGGTTCCCCAGGTGAGATACACATTTAACACTTAACCAGGGCCTGTACACTTGACTGGTTTAATTCTATTACATATGTCGTCACTAGACACTGAGTAGAATACAGTGGATAAGCAAAGGTTTCTCCACCATGGAGAGAGATTTGTGTTGCCACAAACTGTTTCCATCACCCACCTGTGTGGGAGGACTTCTGAGGAAGTGTTCTTGTTCCAGGGAGCCATGGGACAGAGCGAGGCACCTCCTGCGCCACGGCCCCTGCGCGAGAAGCCACACGCGCAGAGACAGCACGGCACAGGGGAAAGCCCTGAAGAGCACACAAAGATCAGCTTTTTAAAATAGGTGTGATAAGGCTACACAGTTAAATTTTTTAAGTACAAATAGGCACATTTACATCACTGGCGTTCAAATGCACAATTCAAATGGATCCAATCACTTTTCCAAGGGAGCGTTCGTAATGTCATTCAAACATTTCTGCTTCAGTAAAATCAAGCAATAAAAACACTCCAGAAATTCAAAGAGATGTGTCCATCCCTCAAGCCAACAGCGCTGCCTGTCTGAGGACCACTTTCCCCAACAAAGTGGTCTGGCTGTCGCGAAGTTCCTTTTGGTATAAAAAGACCGTTTTTTTCCACCAATATCCACACTGCCCAAGGCTATAATGCTGCAGTCCTCTAGTGGGCCCCCTCGGAGAGACAAGGAAGTGCAAATGTTAGAAGTCCCAGCTGTATGCCTTCTAAGTAAAAGAAGCTGGATTCACAGGAGATACCAAACAGATCAAAGAAGAGGCACATTCCACATTCAATTGTATGTGGTGTTAATGTATTAATATATTAGGTCAAATTATGTGCAACTTTCACAGTTGTAGATCAAAAGGTTAAATACCACAATCTCTTTATGGTTCAACCTCATGTAATTTAGCACTGTAAACTATTTTAAATACATGTTTCCCTCTTAATTATCTCCTGGACTCTGTGTCTAAGTTGCAAGACCTAAACACGACAGCAAAGCTTTCTTCTCCGGAGTGAAAATGCAGACCAGCGCTGTCCAAGAGCCCCACACACCGACAGAGCGGCCCTGGGCCTAAGCATTCTCTGCCACAAGCAGCTGCTGAGCCCTTGAAATATAGCTAGTGGGACTGAAGAACTGGGTTTTAAATTTTTCATTAAAACCTCAGTAACCACATGTGACCAGTGACTGCCATACCAGATAGTGCAGGTTTAGCCATAACTGCAGTTTGTTCCAGGCCATGTTAAAGTGTTTAGCAGCTGATTTCTGCCCTGAGAAAAATACAGGATTTATCTAGCGAATATTAAAATGGAAATGGAGCCACATCTGCTCCCGCAACTTCAAACATCTGACCCAGGAGGACAGCCATCAGATTATTCATGCACTTAAAAACAAAAACAAACTTGGCTTTTTTCTTTTAATAGGAGAAACAAGATTACCAAAAATTTTGGCTGACTGGCTTAATATGAAAGACATTCTGCCCCTTCTAACAACTTGCAGAGAACAGAAGAAACGGACTGGAGTAAGATGCGCTAACAGCAGTGCACGGTCCTGTGCTAGAGCCTACTGGGGAGTGTGTGTTTTCTCTCTCTCCCTCTCTCCAGTCTGCAAGCACTGCCACCCCCACCCCATCAACAGACTGGTCTGGACCGCTTGCAGAATCAGTTACCTTCCTTAGATGGAATTCTGGTTCCAGATTTCAATTTGAGTTCAATCCTAATAGTGCCTGTACCTATTTTTCTTGAAAACAATTTTGAAACAACTACTAAACTCAAGAACAGAAACTAGTCAAAGTGAATATTTTCAGTTTGCTCTATCAGGATAGGCCAGTGAGAGTTGTTAAAAACCAAATAGCAAAGACTCAGATTTCCTTCTATAGAAGCAGACCCCATAGTGTTACCTGAAGTGTAGGTGAAGGTCAGAATCCACTCTGGAGGTCGGCATCTCGACCTCAGATGGCCAAGCAAGAAATAAGACAGAAGTGGACATGTAGTTATTCCCAGCACGAGAGCCAGTGGGGGAACTAGATGCTGGTTTGAAAGGCAAACAGAAGCTATGGTTTCCTCCCCCTGGATAACATCTACACCGTGTAGCGGAGTCTGAGATTTTTACACACTCAAAGTGTTTGGTCGTCTTTGGACTCTTCTGTACTCCTAGCTCCATGAGCACAAACACACAAGCAAAAAATATCCCCAGCACAAAACAAAAACTCAAAAGGAGTAATTATTGAATTTGCAGTAGAGGTACAACTGAACCAACAAATTTATTTAGTTAGTGCTGATAAACAGCAGCCTGGAGAGATACCAAGAGCAGCAATTACCTGGTCTGCTTAATGATGCCCTCCCACTTCTCTTTTACAATCAAAAGGAACGATTACTGAGCAGCGAAATCCTGTGGGTCACAAATGATGTGCACACATATCCTGGCTTTCCAGTCAACCTGGTCTCCGTGACAGCTGTGAAGGGCAGCAGACCGTTAGGCTGCTCTTCACAATCAGGAACACCTCCTACTTGCAGCATGCGAGAGTAACAAAGCATTGATGTAAGTGTGCCTCAAAGTGAGAACTGAAAACAATATAAAAAAAGTCAAATAGAACTAAGTTCTTGAAACTACATATAAAAACAATTATTACAACTAAAGCAGCAAATCAAAATATCTGCTGAGGTTTTCTGGTAGAACTAAAAAAACAAATTAGTTGGTGCCCATGTTCAATACGTCACTACCACTGACAAAATAAAACTAAACCCAAAATAGGAAATTGAAAAGTGCATAATGAAATTAAATCTTAGATCAAGTATTTACGGAAAATTGGAAATGTCCGGTATACTTGACAAATAATGATTTAAAGGAGGTATTAAAGTTTATCTGATCCAGCTTTGGCCTGGCGTTCCACATAGAAAAGGATGTAGGCCTTTGCTTTCACAACGGTGTCTTCATCAGTCAGTGTTACAGTACTGTCATTGAAATGGAACCAGCGACCTTCATGAGTTGCATACGCTGTGTAATGTCCAGAACCAACCCTGTAAGGGAAAGTAAAAAAAATGAAAGAAAAGGGCCACAGAAATAACAAAAGGATATGCGCAGTCATAGAATTTGTTAGATATATAATACATTATAAGTACTGTAATAGAGAACACACCCTAGAGACTTGTGGTTTAAGATGGCTGATTGAGCTCAGGTGTTTACGTTCCTCAAAATCCACTGAAATGACCAGGAATATACTGACATTGGAAATACAGGGAAGAGTGCCATCGAATGACCAGAAACTGAAGATTTTCTACAACACACAGAGCATTGTTCACATGGCACTGGGTTAATAGAGAAACCCAAGAGCTAAGCACTCTTGCCCTAACAAGCATAGGTCAAGGTCTAGGGAAACCTGGACCACTGAAGAACAGATTTCCATCACAGCCTTGGAAAAAACCTGAGCTTGAGAAAGTACTCTGCCTCCAGGGAAGTGCCCTCCCTGTACTGTGTGGCCTGCAAGCGCTTTTCTTTTCTTTTTTTGTTTTTAAAGATTTTATTTATTTGAGAGCGGGAATGAGAAGGGGGAGGGTCAGAGGGAGAAGCAAACTCCCCACTGAGCAGGGAGCCAGACGCGGGACTTGATCCCGGGACTCCAGGATCATGACCTGAGCTGAAGGCAGTCGCTCAACCAACTGAGCCACCCAGGCGCCCCTGCAAGTGCTTTTCTGTTAGCATGACCCAGCCACTCACCCACGGAGCCCTAGAGTCCGCGCTCCCAGCAGGAGAAAAGCCTTAGGTAGAATGGACACCCTACAAGTGCTAGGAAAACCCTTACCATTTACCAATAATGATCAATCTCATCATTTATTATGACTCTGAATAAACAGCCCAAAATCATCAAAACCCGGGGGGCAGGGGGTGTGGATGGTATGAAAGAGAAGTTCTGGGAAAAACAAGTAAAGCAATTAACCACTAACAAATTTAATGCAGAAAACCAAAGAGCTTTAAAATTCTAATACCGGTGGTTTCAAAAAGAGACTGCAACCATAAAACAAGAATGTTCCTATTATGAAAGGAAGTTATCAGAAAAATGGGATTGCCACAGTATTAAACATTTCACAGAGGAGCTTATCTTCAATTTGGATATAGATAAAATCCAAATTGGTGATTTGGAAAAATAGGCCATGGCAGTCTTCAGAAACACAGATGGAAATCATTGAACAATGGTTAAAATGTGTGAAAGAACCAGAAAATTCACTATATAGGAGGTCCCCCTCATCCTTGGCTTTGCTTTCCAGTTTAGTTACCCACAGTCAGCTGCGGTCCAGAAGATGATCCTCCTTGTAACATCTCATCAAAAGGTCAACAGAAGCGAACACTACCACAATTATAATTAATCAGTATTAAATATAATTGTAAACTAAACTATCATAGGTACGTATGTATAAGAAAAACTAAAGTGTATATATAGAATTTGGTTCCATCTGCAGTTTCAGGCATCCACCGGGGGTCTTGGAATGTATTTGTACAGATGGGAGGGGGGCTGCCGGACATGCAATATCGGTTCCAAAAAGTAGAGAAGGGCGGGGAACAAACACTATTTCCAGGAGCCGAAGACACTGAAGAAGAGGATCCCTATCAACCACCAAGCCAGGAATACATTTACTGTAATTTCTTAAATCCAAAGACAGGATCCTGTAACCGTCTAATGAGGAAAAAAAGTTGCCTATAAAGGGATGAGACTCAGACTGGTAGTAGACCTGGCCCTTGTAACTATGAATGATGAAGTCCAGGGAGCAATGTCTACAGAGTTGTGAGGGAAAAGGGTTTTCAACATGGATAGGGTTTTGTCCACGTTGGAAGGTAAAATAGCAAATCTCAAGAAATCAGAAGGTATAAACTAATACAAATTTTCAGAAAAACAAAAAATAAAAATGAATCTTTAAAATGACATGAAGTAAGTTCCAAATAATTTCCCATTTTTCCCCAATTTAAATGTCATCTGACAAAGGAAACAGAAAAACTTTGGAGTAAAGACTACTTAGGATTTTGTGGACAAACAGCTTAGGTTCTGAATGCTGAGCTCAAATGAACCGTTCTCCATTTTGCTTTCATGTGCCTTCCTCCTTCACAACATCCTTTCAAGAATATTCTTTCACACCAAGATGGAAAGAAAACTCTACTTCACTCACTTTATAATGTATCTGAATCCTTTTTTTAGGGAGTTGAGGGAGAATTATCCAGAGTGGTGTGAAACTGCTGGTCTTCACCGTGCGTTTCCCAAGCACGAGAAGCCACTGACACACTTACCCGGAACCATGGTGCACCACCACAGCGGCAAGGTCGTAAAGGCAGTGCTCTGGGCCTCTGTTCTCAGGCTACAGAAAAAGGGAGAAGACATCCCAGGACTGAGTTAGCAGCAGTGCTCAGTGACATCCTATCTCCTACCTCAGTGTGAAGACTTGATTTGACTGAAGAGCCATCTTTCACCATCTAACAAAGATAACTGATCTTACCTCTAGCAAGTAGCATTTCATGTCCAGGCCTCTCAGGGGAAATTCTACATAGGTATCAACTTTGTTTCTTAAATATGCAGTCCAATGAAATCGTTTCAAATGTAAGCACAGCACCTGGATGAGAGACAAATCAAAGATTATAAACAATTTACATTTCAATAAAATTAGCTACTTGGTACTAATGTCTCTCGCTATTTTAGGTGGCCTATCAGTTTATCTTTTGAACCCTGATGGTACTTTCTTCCACATTGTGATGTTGTGATTTATAATATAACCCCTGAAACTAATATTACAGTGCATGTTAATGAACTGGAATTAAAATAAAAACTAAATATATATATAATATATATAAATTATATAAATAAATAGGTCTTCACCCCCTGTCCTAACAGAGCTCCTAAACCCTTAGAATTTCCTAAATGATCGCCATAAAGGTGTCTTTGTTATGTTAATGAGGTGACTTTCAGACCACACCTAAGGATAGGCGCTGGTTGGGGGGGGGAAGGGGGGGTGCGACACCCAACCCTGTGATTATAGAGTTGGAACTTTTAGTCTCCCCAGTCTCCTTGCCCCCCACCCCAACTCCAGGGAGGGGAAAGGGGCTGGGAGTTCAACAACTGCCAACAGCCAGTGAGTTACTCAGTCAAGCCTATGTAATGAAGCCGCCATAAAAATCCAAAATGAGGGGTTTAGAGAGCTTCCAGATGGGGAACCAGAACAGTTCGAGGCCCGTGCCAGGCCCAAACTCCACAAAGGCAGAAGCTCCTCTGTTCAGGACTCTGCCCTACCTGTCTCCTCATACATATCTGTAGTCTGTTGGTCAGAAGCATAAAGTAACAAGCTGGGCTTGTGACTGGCTTCTGAAGCGGAGGCAGTCTTGGGGGACTGAGACCTGACCCTGTGGAATCTGATCGCTGTCCCGGGTAGACATGTCAGAGTTGCAGGGAATTGTAGGATGCCCCGCTGTTGCTCAGTGGTCGTGTGGTGGGAAACCACCTTCCACACGCTGGAAACTGTGATCAGGACACGTTAATTGCATTCTCAAAGGGTTTCTTTACCTTTCACCAGCAACTCGAGAGACCAATAGAGAGAACACAGGCTAAAGTTATAAAAATGATTTGTCTTCTCATCAAACATTTTTCCTCTCAAAATTGCATTATAATTTGAAACTCAGTCCTTACCTTGGGTAGTTTTTGAATCCAAAACTTTTTAGTGGATTTTTGTTTCTTTTTGCATTTGTGGCACATATATAACTCTGTCTCATCAAGTTCTTCTAAGTCAGTGAAACTGCGAAGACAATCTAAAACCAAATTGATTTGGGCAGCATTAAAACAGGAGGCCTTCTACAGAGGCAATACGCTGTAGAAAACAGACTGTGAACTTTGAAGCTGGACAACTCTGGCTCCAATCTCAGCGTTAACTCAGTGACCTTGGAAAAAAGTCAGCCTTTCTCAGTTGCAAAATGGAGACCAAAAAACAAAAACAAAACCAAAACCTACTCTGAAGCACTGTTGTGAGGAAAATACTGTGTGTCAAGTGCCTGGCATCATGTCTGACATCTGGTAACTATCACTTAATGACAGGTGGTACTGCTGGGTTTGGTGCTATTAATGAAGAATTCTTCTGGATACTTTTGCTAAAAATGGTTTCCTTAATAAAAAAAAAATCAAGGTTTGAGCAGCAATCTTCTCTCAATATCTTACCTTATAGAGGACAAAGCCCCCAAGTTCATAAAAAAGTCAGGTTTAGAACAAACATTTTCACGGTCATAATTTATTAAAAAATAAACATGGATGACAGAAGGCTATATTACCAACCTTCCTACGATACCTCCAGGGAATCCTTTGTTCCAGGCTCTACTCTCAGTCCCCTGGACAAACCACAGATAAATTTTTTTAAAAGGCTTAATTGTGTAATCTGGGGTTTGGTAAACTGCGGACCCAAGCCAAATCCAGCCACCTGGTTTTGTAAATAAAGTTTTCTTGAACACAGATACGCCCACTGATTTATATATCCTCTGTGGCTGCTTGTATACAAGAGCAGAGCCGAGGAGTTGGGACGCAGACCTTACATGCGGTAATGCCTAAAGTATTTACTATCTGGCCCCTTACAAAGAGTTTGCCAACGCCTATTGCAATCAGTAAGGTATGTATTCTGTAGAGAAATAGTAATATTCCTTTTAGAGAAGAGTATGAATGCCTATGTACCCAGCACTCAAATAAAGAAATGGATTCTCTTCAGTACTTGAGGAGCCAAACTTTATGTGAATGGCATCCCCTAGAGTTGTGCAGTGAGCAACCTGAGCAGCCAGGTGTGGCAGCCCTGTTAGGAGTTTCCTGTATTTTCCCAGTAATAGATCCCATCTTTCCCTCTAGAAATAGACATTATCCTGAATTTTGTGTTAATCATCTTTTTGCTTGCCTTTATAGACCACATACATTATGCATCTTTAAACAGTATAATGTTTAGTTTGAAAAGTTGGGTAGCAAGCACTAAACCTAGCTGTATGAGGAAAAGCAACACTGTCTCTGTACTCAGAGTTTTCAGGTCATAGTCCACCTTGGCTCCCAAGAGAAGAGGATAAGAAAGAGCCTGGTGGCACAGGCCCATGTGGGGCACGGGGGAACCATGCATTCTTTGTGGAGTTGTGTGGGTTTTTTTTTTTTGAGGTATAATTGGCACATAACATACTAATTTCAGCTATACAACATTCAATATTTGTATCTGTTGTGACATCACCACAATAAGTCTAATTAACATCCATTAAAATTTTTTTCCTGTGATGAGAAATTTTTATCTTAGCAACTTTTTTTTATTTTTTAAAGATTTTATTTATTTATTTGACAGAGACGCAGCAAGAGAGGGAACACAAGCAGGGGGAGTGGGAGAGGGAGAAGCAGGCTTCCTGCCGAGCAGGGAGCCCGACGTGGGGCTCGATCCCAGGATCCTGGGACCATGACCTGAGCTGAAGGCAGATGCTTAACGACTGAGCCACCCAGGCGCGCCACTATCTTAGCAACTTTTAAATATACAATACAGTATTAACTATAGTCACCATGCTATATTATTACATCCCCATGACTTATTTATAACTGCAAGTTTCTACTTTTTGACCCCTTTCACATATTTTGCCCACTTCCCATCCCGCACCTCTGGTAACTACCAATTTATTTTCTGTATCTATGAACTTGGTGTGGGGTTTTTTAGATTCCACATATAAATGAGATCATATGGTATTTGTCTTTCTCTGACTTTAACTTAGCATAATGCCCTCAAGTTCCATCCATTTTGTTCTAAATGGCAAGATTTCATTCTTTATGGCTGAATAATATTTCATTATATAAACATTGTCTTTATCCATTCATCCAACAGTTGCTATCTTGATTATTGTAAATAATGCTGTATGAACATAGGGATCATATATCTTTTCAAGTTAGTATTTTCATTTTTTTTGGAAAAATACCCAGAAGTGGAACTGTTGGATCATATGGTAGTTCTACTTCAATTTTTTTAACATTTTTTTAATGAAGTTCAATTAATTAACATATAATGTATTACTGGTTTCATAGGTACAGGCCTGTGATTCATTAGTCTTGTATAATACCCAGTGCTCATTACATCACAGGTCTTCCTTAATGTCCATCACCCAGTTACCCCCATCCCTCCACCCCTCTTCCCTCCAGCAACCCTCAGTTTGTTTCCTGTGATTAAGAGTCTCTTATGGTTTGTCTCCCGCTCTGGTTTCATCTTGTTTTATTTTTTCCTCTCTTCCCCTATGATCCTCTGTTTTGTTTCTTAAATTCCACATCAGTGAGATCATATGGTAATTGTCTTTCTCTGATTGACTTATTTCGCTTAGCATAATACCCCCTAGTTCCATCCATGTCATTGCAAATGGCTAGATTTCATTTTTTGATGGCTGCATCATAATCCATCATACACATACACACACACACACACACCACATCTTCTTTATCCATTCATCTGTCGATGGACATCTGGGCTCTTTCCATAGTTTGGTTATTGTGGACACTATTGTGGATTTTGCTGCTATAAACATTGGGGTGCAGGTGCCCCTTCGGATCACTACATTTGTATCTTTGAGGTAAATATTAGTGCACCTGCTGGGTCGTAGGGTAGCTCTATTTTCTTGAGGAACCCCCACACAGTTTTCCACAGTGGCTGCACCAATTTACATTCCAACAGTGCATGAGAGTTCCATTTTCTCCACATCCTCCCTAACACTTGTTATTTCTTACGTTTTTGATAACAGCCATTGTAACAGTTGTGAAGTGATAGCTCATTGTGGTTTGATTTGCATTTCCCTGATGAGTGATGTAGAGCATCTTTTCATTTACCTGTTGGCTATCTGTATGTCATCTTTGGAAAGATGTCTATGAGGATTTTCTCCCTTTTTTTTAAAATGGAACTGGTTGTTTTGTTTTTGCTACTGAGTTGTATGGGTTCTTTATACATTCTGGATATTAACCCCTTAACAAACACTATTTGCAAATATTTTCTCCCATTCAGTAATTTGCCTTCTCACTTTATTCCCTTTGCTGTACAGAGGCTTTTTGGTTTGAAGTAATCCCTCGTATTTAATTTTGCTTTTCTTGCCTTTGCTTTTGGAGACAGATTCAAAAAGTCACTGCCAAGACCTATGTCAAGGAGTTTACTACCTACGTTTTCTTCTGGGACCTTCATGGTTTCAGGTCCTAGGTTCCAGTCTTCAATCCATTTTGAGTTAACTTTTGTGTATGGTGTAAGAAAGTAGTCTACTTTCACTCCTTTGCATGTGGCTGTTCAGTTTTCCCAACATCATTTATTGACGAGACTATCCTTTCCCCTTGAATACCCTTGGCTTTGTTGTAAATTGACCATGTATGTATGGTTTATTTCTGGGCTCTCTATTCTGTTCCATTGATATGTCTGTTTCTACGCCAAAACCATACTGTTGTGACTACCATGGCTTTGTAATTTAGTTTAAAATCAAGGCGTGTGACGCCTCTGGCTTTGTTCTTTTTTTTTTTTTTAAAGATTTTATATATTTATTCGAAAGAGAGAGACAGCGAGAGAGGGAACACAAGCAGGGGGAGTGGGAGAGGGAGAAGCAGGCTTCCCACTGAGCAGGCAGCCCGATGCGGGGCTCCATCCCAGGACCCTGGGATCATGACCTGAGCTGAAGGCAGACCCTTAATGCCTGAGCCACCCAGGCGCACCATGGCTTTGTTCTTTCTCAAGATTTCTTTGCCTATTTGGGGTTTTTTGTGATTCCATACAAAGCTTAGGATCGTTCGTTCTACTTCTATGAAAAATACCATTGGAATTTTGATAGGGATTGCATTGACTCTATAGATTGCTTAGGGTAGTGTGAATAACAACATAAATTCTTCCATGGGCATGGTATATCTTTCCATTTATTTGTGTCATCTTTAATTTCTTTCTTCATCACCTTACAGTTTTCAGTGTATAGGTCCTTTACCTCAGTTAAATTTATTTCTGGGTATTCTTTTTGATGCAATTGTAAAAGGGATTATTTTAATTTCTCTGATAGTTCATTATTAGTATATAAAAATGCAATAGATTTTTGTATTTTGATTTTGATCCTGCAACTTAATAATTTTTTTGATGGAATGTTAAGGGTTTCTATATATAATATCATGTCATCTGTAAATAGTTTTATTTCTTCCTTTCCAATTTAGGTGCCTTTTTTTTTTTCCTTGCCTAATTGCTCTGGTGAGGATTTTTAATACCTTATTGAATAAAAGTGTTGAAAGTGGGCATCCCTGTTTTATAACTTATCTCTGAGGAAAAGCTTTCAGCTTTTCACCATTGAGTATGATATTAACTATGGGCTTGTCATATATGGTCTTTACTATGTTGAGGAAGGTACCCTCTATACCCTCTCTGAGTTTTTATCATAAATGGGTATTGGGGCACATGGATGGCTCAGTTGGTTAAGCATCCAACTCTTAATTTCAGCTCAGGTCATGATCTCAGGGTCTTCAGATTGGGCCTTGTGTCATGCTCTGTGCTGGGTGTGGGGCCTGCTTGAGATTCTCTCTCTCCCTTTGCCCCTCCCCCACCTATCCTCGTGCTCTCTAATAATAATAATAAATGGGTGTTGAATTTTGTCAAATGCTTTTTATGCATCTACTGAGATAATTATATTTTTATCCCTGATTTTGTTAATGTGGTGTATAACACTGATTTATATATGTTGAACCATCCCTGCATCCCTGGAATAAATCCTGCTTGATTATGGTATATGATCCCTTAATGTACAGCTGACCCTTGAAC